CGTAATCAAAAGTTGATAGAGTAGAGGGGCTTGCCGTCACACATAACATTCAGACTTAGAACATGAACAGAACAAGGGCAAAACAGAACGTAGAGTTTTCTCGACGTGTTCAATTATATGTATGCCGCCCAGTATATCGACGTGAGATGCGTTACCCTGCAGGCTCCCAAGGATAAAATTTTGAGTTGAAAATCGTGCCTCTATTTGTATAATAATTCATTGTATAAAGGATGTCTCGTGCACTATGTGTCATCAATGGGCAGTGATTTTATCGCACCTATACGACAATGTAACGGGTTTTAAAAATGATTTTTGTCTGTCATCTCTACACCGCTTACCTATATCCTCATTGCTGGTATATTAGGTAAACCAATTTGTACCTACACACAGTAGGTACACATGATATATCATGTACGCATTCAGTTTAGGTGCTTATGTTATTATGCTTACCTACCATATAGTTTACACATTATAATATGTAACTGGCAGGTATGTCTTGCATTATATACGTATATTATATTATCATGTAATAACGGTCCGCGCAGATTGTACACAGCGGCGGGCGCCTATATAATATAATTTTTTTTATGGACGGACGTTTTAGTCGTTATTTTAACACCCGACTATTGGACGTATTTCTTTTTCGTTTTATGGACCAATAATAGTGTTCGTGTGTGTTCGTATATTATATAATATTGTACGTGGCATATTATATTATTATTATACCTAGTAATATACCGACCGCCGCCGACGCCAGTATATTACACACGTTATATTATATAGCTAGGTATGTACATCGTATATATAGCCAAGCATTATGGTACATTAGTACATAAATAAGACGGCGTGTGACACCATCGCCGCCTGGTCGCTATATTTTCTAATCCGATTAACCTATACGTTCCTCGCCCGCGCCTTATTGGATCCTCAGCGAGCGCTGCACCGACCTTAGTCGACAAATAATAATAAAAAAAAAAAAAAATTAAAAAATAACCAAAAATCGTTGGATGAACCAGTGTTTTTGACTAGTAACACGTGTTTGAGACGTTATTAATATTGTTTTTGTCGTTGTTCTTTCGTTAGTATATCACACAATATTAGTTATAGTAGATACCTTATAATGTACCATTAGGTAACACCAATGGTTATCTTAGTGTTACAAAATCGACGAGGTAATTATATTAATAACGAGCAAATGTGCAGTACTGTAATACGTTAATATATGCGACCCTCCATCCGATTTCATAACGCGATATTTGTGTGTACTCATACTTACTTATCAATAATTTTTGGAAAATATTTAATTATTTAAGACGTTTATATATGTAATATTATTCTAACACTTTTTATAATTTCTATATTTTCCTTATTTTGGTCTCTCTCTTGATTTAACGTCGGTTAACTTACTATATACATTTTTGATTTTAAATATAATTTTAATCACCTACCTAAATATAATTATGATTTAACCATTTAGGTATAGTATCTATTTCACAATCAAAAGTGTAATACTTTTATTAAAAAATGTTGATGCATAAAATATCGAACATTCCAGAACGATAATAAATTTTTTTTTATTTACAAGCACTTAATAAATTTTTTTAGGTAAATGTAGTAGTGAACCTCAAATCTCGAGAGGCGAGTATGAGCGTAAAATGCTTTTAAAAAATTATCATAGTTCATGTTAAAATAATTGATCTATTTATGTATTTATGCATGTATGTGTAATATTATATTATAAGTGTGACAATAACGGTTTGCTTTGTTACAGGTGAACATTTGAAAGAAAAGTACGAAGGCGCCATCGAGGTAAGGGCTACGAGGCGAGGACGGTTGCAGATCAGGGATCCTAGGTTCAGTCTACCCACAGCAAGCGATCTCGTCTACATCGACGATTCACCCAACTACTGCATCAGAAACATTACTGCTGGTTCTATAGGTAATAATTAGTCTCAGAAAATTCTGAATTTTGCATATTTTTTTTTTAATATTTCAGTAAATGCGAGGATCAAAAAATAACCTTTCTGAGATGAAAAGAATCTAAAACACAAATTATATTTTGCATATTCTATGGTTTCGATTATTATAGGGCATAGACTATAAAGTTAAAGCATATCAATGCAATAAATAGATTTTTAATATTTTTTTAAAAAATATTTGTTAAAAAATAAAATGTTCATAAAAATACAATTTAAAAATTAGAATGCTTAATATTTTTTTAGTATTATGTACGTATTTATGTGCTTTCTATGTATTAGATATAGCCGATATAAGATCTGAAGCGCTTCTCGCCGCCGATAACTATTTCGAATTTCTACGTATTCAGTACAGATGTTACCAGCAATGTGTTGAATCCGGTATTATATAGAAATCCTAGGTATTCCATAGAATACCAAAAATGAGCAGGAAAAGTATAGAATGTAATACGATGACTAGGTATCCTATAAATCACCTAACCTCGAGCAGGAAAAGTATATATAATATAATTAATATAAAACTTAGATTTGTACTTAGTGTACCTCTGTAATCAACAATTAGTGTTTATCTTGACGATTATGCTATCGCATACAACACGTGTGCGATGTATTATATTTATTATTAGCTAATCATATTATCATATTATTCGTGTATACAGGAAAATTCAATATACGCCTTTAAAAATATTATTTCTTTTCACTTTTGTAAAAGTGTTTGTCGTATTAAGATACATTAAGATGTCTGAAAGTTTTTATGTTGAACTAAAGAAAAGTTGAAAAAAGTCGAAAAAATACTGTTAATTTATCGAATGATAAATTGAAAATGTCAATCTAAAAAATGCTTATGTGTAAAAAATAATATTTTATGTAGTTATAAATGTCGTGCATCAACTATATGCTGCAATAAATAAATAAAAATAAATAATAAACAATAATAAAAATATTTTGATTTAACTCATTACCTAACATAGTATAGGCGTTTTATAGAAATCCTAGGAAAATTATATAGAATACCTAGACATAATATAAATTACCATTTAAATTTAATATATTGCCAAATAGTTCAAGGAATTTTATAGAATTCCTTGGGAATTTATAGAGTGCCTATATTCATTACTTTGCCGGTAACATAGACACACTTGCTATAAGTTAATAAAAAGAGAAAAAATAACCATATAAACAAATGTAACTTTTAACTATTCCAATAATTCAGCTATACTTTTTTTTGTTTTACTACATATTTGGTAATATTTTTTAAGCATATCTGCTATATGTATCCATATTTCTGTGCGTTTTGAGCTAAAATGCTTAACCTAATGATTACCTACATGATAATTAAAATAATTAGTCATATATATATATATATATATAGTGTCATTAAGTTGAATTATGGGTGTTATTTATTTTTGTAGTTTATTATTTATTATAGTTTACTAATTTTACTGAGACTAAGTAACAAAATTTAATCTTTTAAAATTTAATTTAATTTTGATGTACATTTAAAAAAAAAAAAAAATCTAGGTAAGTACTATATTTTAACGTTTTAGTTAAACCAATGTTTGTATGTATCCATACTATTTCATTAATACAATATATGAGGTATCAATTTTCAAAAATCAACTAAAGCTCAATTTTAATACAATTATGTAGGTACTTATTACATGTGTACATATATAAACTCATTCATAATTATGCCACTGAATGTTTTAGTAGGTAGTATATTATTATACGATAATAGGTATAAGTGTCTGACGCCTATATACTTACGATTATTGTGCTCTCAGATTTAATAGCCAACAAGTCATCACATTATTATTGTATGGCTCGAGACTTCCTCAAGATTTCGATTACGTTGTGTTATATAATAATATTTTGTTAGGTATGTACCACTTATGTACTATATGAGTTATGATGACTATAGAAGTGTGTGTATTGTAATCGATAATGATAAATAATTGTGCTCTCAACCACAATTCCCCATCGTAAACAAACGTTCTCGTTCTTGTGAATCATCATTGACGTGTGATTTTTCGTTTTTCATGGTTAGTTGCGGTGAATTATTATAGTTATTATTCACTCTTACTTTAATAACGAGTAGGTTACGATTGATATTATAATGGTGAGTACTGCGAAGTGACGAATTTGTATGATTAGGTACATCGGCATTTTGAGGTCAAAAAGCCCATGTAAATCTTACAATCAGGGGCGTATTTAAGGATGGGGCCCACAGTAAGGTGCACTTACTTTGTTTTTAACCTAATTTGTGGCTTTTATACAATATATATATATTTATATAATATCATATTCTTACAGGTACCCATGGTCGAGAATGCAACCGTACATCACATGGAATGGATGGTTGCAGTTTACTATGTTGTGGTAGAGGCTACAATACACAACGATTGGTCACACGCGAAAAATGCGAATGTAAATTTCATTGGTGTTGTTATGTGCAGTGTAAGACATGTGTCCGTAATGCTGAAGTGCATACGTGTAAATAGAGTAAAACAACAAAAGAAAGAAAAAGAACATTTTAAGAATTGAACATTAGATCTCAAAATATTAACTTTTGACTTCCTCCCTTATTCCCTACTTACCTATAATTTAATGTGTTTTTGATTTTCCTTGTCTTTAAATGCAAATAATCATTACACAAAGCCCATATCCCAGGCCTACCTAACTATTTATTGATCAAAGTACAGATTTATTTTGTTTTTTTTTTTTTTTTTGTTACAGACTATTTTAAAATGTAAATATTAAGAATTAATATTTAAACAGTAACAATTTATAATTATATATTTATTAAAGCTGTTTTGTTTCAATGGACTGAGACAAATGGGCTAATAAAGTAGACTATTTATGTTTTAAGGATGATGATTTTTTTTTATTTATTTATAATTTTAGTAAGTTTGAGTGAAAACTAAATAAAAATGTAATTAACACAAAAAAAAATCCGTTTTTTTTTATAGTATAGATATATTATTATAAATGTAGTAGTTTATATTATAGAGAGTTGTGCACAAATTGGAATAAGAAAATTAATAAATATCACAAATCAATTTTTTTTTTTTTTATTGTCTACCATTTTATTTTTTGTGTGATCCAATTCTCATCGACAATTTCAAATGCTTGGTTCTGGTCTCTTTTCATAGTTTGATACTTATTAGCGTTATTTTTACTACTAAAATAATAGAAAGAATATTAATGTTTATTAGATATTAAAAATTAGTTAATAAGTTATAAATATACCTTGAATGAATTACAACATGAGTAGTATTGTTATCAATATTTTTGCAGACTGTGCCTCCATTAAATTTAAATATCAGCATTTCTAACACTGTGTTTGTGTGGAAATTTCTGACAGGCAAATTATCCTAAAACGTATTCAACATGATATTAATTTATATAAAATAAGTGCATGCTTAGTATGGAAGTTAAGATAAAAGCCCTTAATTTATATATATATACATACATTAAGTAGATAATAACAATAAAAAATAATATAATTTTAAATTAGTTAGACTCATTTGATTATTTGACAATATCACATTTACTATGTAATGACTTATTGTAAATTTAATTTTGAAATTTACTTTAATAACTTTATACACTTGATATGTATTAAATTAACAAGTAGAAAAAAAATTGAATAATCAATTGAAGTAAAAATAGTTAAGTATTTGGGTAGATCAAGATGTCTGAAATATATTTACTACAATTATAATATGACGATAAATTTAAACATATTTAAATTGATGTAAGTTCTCATTATTTTTATTTGATTTATGTATTATTTAGTATTTATTATTGAGAAAATTTTTATATCAAAATAATATTAAACTTACTAAATTTAAATCATCAAAATAAACTTGGTATTTTTCAAAAATTTTAAAACACTGTTCTTCATTAAAGAGTTCGTTTTTGAAATCCAAAAAAGCATCAACTTCTGTGTTGATTAAATCATCCTATAAATACCACGAACAATTATGAATTAACATTTAGTACTACAACTCCATAACATGATTGATGATGCATACATCTAGCTCAACTCGATCCATTGCCTGGCGTAATGTTTCAACAGTAGCTAATTCTGTATAACTGTCACCATACTGATCAAATTTTTCATTCATTAATAGCTGGTGCTCCTTGGATAAAAACAAAACGTTTTCAGGTGTCCAGTTAAGAAATTCATTATCATTAAAACATGACAGTATCCATTTTGTGCTTATTATACTATATTTGCCTGATAATTTTATTGCATGTGCCCTTATATGCTTAATATTGTTGGCAAGAACACAAAAAGTATCACTGCCTAATAACAAGTAAATTTTATTCCATTAAATATTTTATATTAAGTATTTAATATCTATTAATATTTTTTTTACCGGGATTTTGAACGACTCGGCCACCATATTCAAGAATCTTTTTTTCAATTTCACTCTTGCTCAAAGTTTCACTATCATTAAGGACACAGAATTCTTTTTCTTCAAACATATTATTAATACAATTGACATCTTTTAAATTTGGGCCTTGAAATTTTTTATCAACGGTTACCGTCACACGAGATTTTTTAATTTTACCTGAACGATTCGTGCCATCAGTATGGGAAGTATACAATTTTCCCTCTGTTTGCTATAAGGTTAAAAAATGAATTAAATTAATTAAATTAATTGACCAATCCATGAATATTAGTTATTATTTCTTGAATAGTTAAACTTACGAACCTTGATTATAGACTCAAATTCCTCAATGGTCATACAGTCATGCCATGGTTTGTCGTAACGAACTTTTTCAATTCGTGGGAAACGTAATGCTATTTTACTTTTAAAAACATGGCTTGTCATAATTTCTGTTGCCTTCACCTGTTAACAAAATGTACATTTAAACTATTTCTATAAATTATTCTGTGTGATAACTGATAAGTAATTATGTTCCATTTACTTGTATAATAACTGATGATTCGGGTTCAATCCAAAGATCAGGCTTTTCTTTACCCCACTCAATATTTGGTGGCATATCTTTAAGATTAAATCTTTTCCAATGAGGTGATAATTGCCTCGATAAACCAGCTAGTTCTTCTGTTGAAAATCCTGAACTAACTCGACTGATGGCAGAATATTTAGACGATTCACCATCTATAAATAGTATTTACCATAAACAATAAACATTATACAATTGGTAAATGATGAAGACTAAAAAACTTAACAAACTACATAGACTGGGTGTTAATAACTTATTGTTGATTGTCAAAAAATATAAGAAAAAAAGTAATTATTTAATAGATATAAATTTTGTTTGTATAGCTAAATATTAGTTGCTAGTTCAAAATTTAAAATTACCTTTTTCCAAAAGACCCACTAGAAAATGACTCACAACACCTCGTTTTTTACCTTCACCGTAGTATCCACCAATAATTAAGAGATCTAATTCAATAAGTGCACCATCAGTATACTAAAACATAATATAATTAATAACCATGTATCAACTAAAATAAACATTGATAAAAGAAAAATTGTAAAATTCTTACTTCTGGCTTAATTTTAAACCATCCTGCATTTCGCGAATTTGGCTTATAAATTGATAATGGATCTTTGACTACAATACCTTCCTCATAGTTATCAATTGCATTGTTAAGATGTTTCATTAAATCAATTCTAAAATTGTTTAAATAAGATTTATACTGATTTATATTTAAATAATAATACCATTGATTATGGATAAAAAATATCTATAATCAATAATAATACTTTTATATTTATTACTTTCTTGCTTTATGTCTCGTAGTATGTACAAAAATTCCTTCTAAAGGGTCAAATATTGTATTTAAAATATTTAACCGTTCTTCTAATGGACGGTTGGTAATTACAACATCGTTATAATAGACAATATCGAATACACAAAAACATGGTTGATGTGTATTCCCTATTCTTAATTTTTTCACATCAATATTCATGGCTAAAATAATAATAATAATAATTATTATTATTATTACAATTGTAGTAATTAATAATTCTAAAATATTACCTTTTGTGGAAAATGATTTATACTTAGTATTATAACACATCATTTCACCATCTAATATGCAATTCTTTACATCAGGTTTAAATTGTTTTGCTAATACTGGACTCAGAATACCATTGACGTCATTACAACCATATGTATCTGTATAATCATTGCCTTTTCTATAAAAATAAACAGTTCAAATAAGAACATATAATTAACACAATAATTACTATATTGGTTAATGGGATATTTATTTACATACCTAGAAAAATATTTAAAAAGGTTTTTTTCTTTGGACCAATGTAGTTGAAATCTTTCACCGTCCAATTTAATATCAACAAATAATTCATCATTTTTTATTGTTTTCATTATTTGATTATCATCAGTAATTTCACAGCGTTGGCTTAGCATTGGACAAAAGGGTTCAAATAAATTAACAGATATCTCATGCAAAACCACTGACGGGTTATTCAGCATTTTACAAACCTAAATTAATTACACATTTATTATGTACTTATTCGAAAATTCTAGAAATAGTTATCATAATACTTTTGTTAAATCATTGCAAACATCATATAAATCGTTGGCATCACAATGATACGCTTTTAATATTTTTGTATGAGCAATACCTAAGCGCATATCTTTTAATAATAGACGAACCAACCATTTTTGCTCATTTGCACTGAATTTGAATAGTGCTGACTGTAAAATTTGTTCCACTTCCTCTAATATACGTAATAAAATTTAAATGTTTAATAGCCATGAGTTAATAAACAAGAATACATTTTTAATGTGAAATATTGAAATTTAAATTACTTGATTCATTTGTAGCATATTTTAAGGCTATTTCATCTAATAATTGATTGACATCAGCAATAGTCATTGAACCATTGTCTTCAAATCTACTTCTTATAACCCAATACAGAGTTTCAGCAAAGTCTCCAGCTGTAGGCCCAGAAACTTTTGGCACCCTATACGATTTTAATGTTATCATTATTATTTTAAGGACTATTTATCAACATTTTAGTATATTTGGAATATTTATAATTAAAATAAATTACATGCCTGAAATTCAAAAGTCTTTGAGCATCTGGACTGTCTTTTGCAAGGCATAATATTTTTACATATAACTTTCCCAACGCAGTTTCTTTAATGCCATATGCTCCTCTTTGTTTGTCTGATACAGGTAACAGTAACCTTAATGCCGGGTAAAATGTGTCTTCCTAAATATATTATATTTTCTATTAATGTATAAATGGAATAGAATATTTTATCTAGTTCTAGAAGATGACTTACAATATTTAAGTTTTCACTTTTCTCAACAGACCCTCGACATTTATTAATGAATTTTTCTAGAATGAGGATTTTATTTTCATTTTTTGCATTATAAATGTCTTCACATACACAACAAAATAATTCAAATGGTATTTTGTTGCAAGATTTACTGATTGCAGAAGCCATGACTCTAACAAATATGATCAAAATTAACAGTTAAATAATTTTAACAGTTATTTTATTGTATGTACATATTAAACATTTAACTAAAAATAAATAAATATAATTGAAATTAAATGTAAGAACTGATAACAAATTTCAGTTAAACAATATTTTATTTATTTAACACCAATAAATTGAATATAGATTAAAATAATATAAAAGTAACAGATATATTTAAAAAATTATTAAATAAAAAATAATAATAAATTAAACTTGCACATGACTGATATACATCAATGCAACATCAATATTTCCAGAGTCTAGATAAATCAAATGTAGATTATATGCTGCCGCATGTTTTAAACAGTAATCCTCACTAAATGGTTTCGTTTCCAATACTAATTTATAGTAGTGTAGGGATTTTGCCACCATACCGACTTGATGGTATGCTCTAGCAATGTTAAAATAACACTCCTGTTCATGTTCCACACCTCTGTGTTCTTTATACTTCATTAAAAATCCAATGCCTTGTAATGATAAGCTGTGTCTATCTGCACCAACTTTAAATGTGCAAAGTCTAAGGATAATCACTCCAAGCATGAAGTAAAGTAGACTCTTGTCATCTAGTTTGTTCAGTAGTTCAGTATACCTCGAAAATAAAAGCTGATAATTATATGCATCATTAAACACATTAGTGTCTAGTAAATTAAGGGCAAGATTATCTGGATATTTGGCAGCTAGTCGAAAAATGAATTTTGCTTGTTTTTTGGCAGCACACTTTTTTAAAAGGAAACAAAATAAATTTGAAATTTGCGGTGCTTGGGGATACTTTAATAACAAGTACCTAGATAACATGAAACCTAATTTGTACGCTCTAACTTTATATGCAAATTTTATAGCGTTCAAAACAATATGATGGTTGTAATTTACTAACACAGTGGAGTTCATTGCTGAAAGTAGTAACTTTAAACCTTTGTAGTAAAGATTTTTCTCAATGCACTTCAAACAAATAGCAGACATAACGTTCCATTCTTCTTCAGGACTGGGTAGTGGATTAATGGTCAAGATATTATCATGTTGATAACCATACAATTCTTTCTTTATTGTTAATAAAGTGTCGTGTCTATTTTCTACATTATGTATTACCAACATAGATTTAACTTCTCTTAATGAGTGTACAGGTAAACAGTGACGAGAAAACATCAAATTAGCTGCTTTCCAACAATTATCAAACATGTCATCTTTGTCATATGATGCCAAGACATATTCATACAACAATCTACAATCTAGATTTTCCACATCATTCTCAAATAATACTTTCAGACTTTGGTCTATTCTGTTTAACTTTTTCAATGACATATACAAATCAAATTTAACTGTTAATTGTTGTGGGTTGACATCTAGCAGTTTGTTATAGTTGTCAATAGCTTGTTCAAGGTGTCCTAAAGTTTTTAAACATTCAGAATATTTAATTTTAAGTGCATGTTGATCAAATATCTGATTTTCACAGTTAATCAATCGTTCTAGAAATATAATAGCATGTTTATGCTGATTGGAATCAAACAGAATATTAGCAACATTTAAATGAAATTGATTCACTTCTGTTATATTTAAAATTGGTTCATAAATTGGTGGTAATATGGAAAAGGCTTTAAGTTGAACTAAAATTTCAATTAGTTTGATTCGTACTAACATTGGCATAGTATTAGGAGCTGCGCATTCTACAATTTCTGTTATGGATGTTTCATTACTCACATCAGCTACAAATTCAAGATTATAATGTTCGACCAACAGTTCTAAACTTTTTTTAAAGTTCTTGTTTTTAACAAGATAATCTAAACATGTCACAAAATCGTTAGGCTTTACATCATCTGGAAACAAACTAAATACATGTATAAATATATTAGATGCACGGTCATAATTTTTGTTTTTAACAAAGTTGTCAATTAATAATTTAGATAAAGTAATAATTGAATCTTTTTGATCAGGTCGTAATTTACGTAACAGACGGTCATATTCATTCATGGCACTTTTAGCTGTGCCCAGTTGTTCTAATATTGATGCTCTTTTAATATGCAAATCTAAATTACGCCTATCTTTTTGTATAGCTTTGGTCAAACAAAAATCTGTTAAAGGCAACATGTTATTTGACTCACATGTTTCACCTAATAACACCCAATCTTCAGATGTTACACTACTTAAACTATTACCAATTACAGCTGTTTCTAAACTTTTTTTCATGTCTCCCATTTGCTCATAGATATCAGACAATGTAAAAAATGGTTCAGATGCATTTGGACACTCTTTCAATATATTTACACAAATTTGAATGGCCATGTTATAGTTTTTTTTCAACATAAACATTTTAGCTTGACCAATGAGTCCTCTCAAGGCTAGTGGAATTTTTCCCATTTGCCTTGAACGAGGCCCTTCAACAACTGTATCATCATCCTTGTCATCTGAATTTGTTCTCTTGCTAAGCGAGTTATTCATTTTATCATCAACGGGTGTTGCATTAATGTCCTGCCGTGAATCGTAGCTCTGAATGGTATTTCCTTCCAAATTATAAACGATAGCCAATTCTTCATTTTCAGAAGTACCGTCAGGAACTTCGATTTTAGTTTCGATTGTGGGCGTTTCAATCTCTTGAACATCCAAAAAGTCGAATAGGTCGTCTTCCGGCACGTTATCGTCTTTAAATACGTCCATAATGACGTCTGGTGTACCTTCGTCCAAGACGATCTCCATATCCTCGATATTCAACACAGTTTCTGCCATATTAAACAAAATACAAATCAAATAAGTGAAAACTTACCAAGTTGGACGACAGACGATTATTGAAATAACTATTATAGTTTTACTGATTTTAGTTTTTTAAAATGTAAACAAACACAGTTGATGGTTTATCGTTTTGTTGCTCTTATCAGTTCTCCGATGCTATCCTATTGCGCACGCACCTAATGAACGTAGTAACGGTAATGGCAGTTATGGAAACGACATTACATTGCCGTCGTTTTCGTTTGATAGTTTGACACATGAAGTCATTAACGAATAACGGTGGCATTTAATAATATTTTACATGCTACCATTGTTACTATATTGTTCAACAGATTTTAATTTTCAACTGTTGTCTGTTAAAATTCGTTGCCTTTTGCTTGCATAGTAAGAACCTTGATCCATGATTCAGATACGAATCATGATAAACGTGTATTCCGTAACTGACGTTCGGTGACACGTTATTGTTTTCGGTGGCAAAAATTAAAAAACTCCTAGGTTTAGTATTTCAAAATTTAGATAATATTTTTTATTGTAAGTTCTTGATTAAATTTAAGTTTGTGTAATAATAATGTTTGAAATACGGCTTTGATGATGAAAGATACAATCATGGATACAGTAGACGAAGATACTGTATTCTCGGACGAAGAATTATTTGCAAACGGTAAAAATATTCTTTATTCATATTAATTAATTAAATAATTAACTTTTCGTTATTGTGTATATTTCTTTGTAATGTTTTTAAGTCTAAATTTTTAGTGTTTTTGCTTTACCAATTCTTTATTATAAAATTTCAATTTATTTACATAAGATAGTATAATTCGAATATTAATCCCCCTCACTTCAATTTTGAATTTCTGAACGTCCTTCCAAATGCAAATATAAAATTGTTTTATTTTGATATTGTACTTTATATTGTATAGATCTGTGTTTCTCAACCCTTGTGTATATTTCATACTTTGTGACACACAATTAAAAAATAAAAATAAGGAGTAATATTTAATTTTAATTGTTATTATAAGACATGTGAAATTGTCGATAACAGAAAACTTATTTTTAATCATAGAAATTATATCAAACACCTACTAGTTTTTAAAAATTATGTCAAAAATGTTTGAATATTTTGTGTCATTTAATATACTTCATGACACATTTGGATTTATTTGGAAATATACCAGAAATAGAGAAATAGAGAAATACCAGTATAGATATATATATAATATAGTATATAAATTAAAACCATTGAAATTTAACATATGGATACAGCATCCCTACCTTCATTAAGCTTAATACTAAAGAGTTGTTTTAAAAATTTTAAGGATTTCAGTTAATTTTATATCATAGGCCTCTTAAATCTTAGGTATATTGACTATATTAAGTATATTTTTTGATTATTTCTGTTATGTTGGTGATGATAATATTCTATTAAAATTAATATGAATGATGTTAAACATTTTTATTTTTAGATGCAAACGATTGTGTTGTAACATTAACTAGTTCAGTCAGTTATGAAGACGAGTATCAATCTTTATTATTTCAAAATAGAGATCGTATAATATCAAAATTAAAAAATGATTTATCCAATGTTTTACCTCCTCCGCCAACAGTAACTACTTGTCGATTAAGTGTAAGTGATATATTAGATAGATGGTACCAATATGAAAAATCAAATTCTCCAACAAAGAAACCTGAAACAAAAGAATTAAAAAATATTGACCGTGCAATTAGTTGGTCTTGGCCAGAAGTATCTAATGTCCAGTGTTTTGATGTTTAGTAAGGAAAATATAAATATTTTAAATCAATATTTTTTTTTTTTTTTAATTGTGTTTTTATTACAGCTATAACATTGATAACAAGTCAGCAGAAATGGCATTATTAGAATCAAAGTATCAACAAAGGTATGTTTCAAACGAAACCAAATCTCTAATGAATACAGGACTAACGCCACAGCCTAAAAAAGAACGAGGATTAATTGTTCAACATGTTAAGCCTGTTGAACAAAATACACGATTAATTCGAAGAAAACCCGTTTCAAAACCTCAAATATTAGCAGAAGCTAAAGCAAAATTAGCTCTTATTGAAAATAAACGTCGAATTTTAGTCCCAGGGTAAGAATATATTAATTTTTAAACATAAGATAATATATATTTATAATTTTTATTATTTTTAAAGAAAACTAAAAAGGGAAAATATAAAACCACTTGAGAAAAGTTATCTTGAAAATCGAAATGGCAATGACAGAAGATCAATTAGTCATAAAAGAGCACTATTTCAAAGTCCTGAAATTTATCAGTCTAGGAAACGTATGTGTTATAGTCATAATCCAAAGTCTGAAGAGTCATCTCCTCTTAGTGCCCTTTCAATTTGTAGCGATACATCAAATACTACCCCAGTTAAAAGGTATCAACTTATAAAATTATTTAAATGTATTTAATATTTAACTAAAAAAAATTAAGTGTATTCAAAAAATTATTTACATATATAAAATAGGAGAAAAGTAAAAACTGTTTTGCAAAAAGTAAGTGTTAAGTGTATTTTGTTATTTAGGGTAAATAATTTAAATGTACATGTTAACTTTGAATTTAATGATGAATAATTGTATAATAAAAATAATTTTGAGTAAGATGATGTGTTAGCCTATATTTTATTTTATATTTTAATTGCTATTTGTTATTGAAGTAATTTATTTTACTATTTTTTAAATGATAACATAAACATTCGGTGAACATTTCAAGTATTTACAGATTTTTATTCTTAAATTACAATCAAATATTAAAAATGAATTGAAGAAAAATAGTTATTTTACAGTTGAATGTCCTATGTTGTAAAAGTTTGAATTTGAAATATTCATTAAAAATTAATATATTTTCAGTAATTTTTTTCTTTCTATAGTTAGAAAACCTTAATGAAGAACCTTTCATTAAAATTTAATCTTTTTGAACCATCAAAAAATATTTTTACAAATATAAATATTGAAAAATTCAAAGGTTTATCATAGCTTAAAAAGAGTAAATATCTTTAACATCTCACTATGTTTAGAAAATGTTAATATAAAATATTTTGTGAAAATTTAAATTATCCGTGATTTTTCTTTTGAGTAGCTGTAGAAAAAAAAATTAATTTTATCAAATACTGGTTTTATATAAAAATTATCATTTTTCTTTAATTTTTTTTTATTGTTTTTTTTTTCATGATTTTTTTTAATTTTTGATTTTATAAAGTATGAACTTGATCCATTTTTCTTATAAAAATTGCTTAAAGTTGAAAATCAAAGCATTTTTTGTCTCAAGAGGTGATGACAGACACAATTAAAAACTTTAAAAATAATAATAAAAATATATACCATAGTAAAATTAATACATTTATTGCTCCGCTCAAAATCTAATATACATATAGTAATAATAAAGAAAATAGATGACATAGTTATAATTTTAACAGTGATTCCAATAATAGTATTAATACCATGTACAATTTCTTTTATTTGACCTAAGATGTTATCTTTTTAAGCACATCTTTCATTTTTTTTTTTTTTTTTGATCATCCATCAATAGATATTGTATTAATATTATGATAAACTTATGTTTTTAAAACATTAACAAGTTATTTTTATTAAAATATAATAATTTTTTTTAGATGGAGTGCTGTTCCTGTGAGTGCACAACTATTTGGCGATGATCAAGAAGATAAACAGAAATCAATTATTACTAGAACAGAACCAGTTAAAAAATGCCAAAGAGTATTGAAATTTTTCAATAATTCAGAATCAGCAACTTCAAAAAATTTGTTTAATACAAAACCAAGTCAAAAAGAACTTAGTAAACTTCATAAACAGGTATTTATGATTTTTTAATTTTTTAATGTAACTAATTTTAAAATTTGGTACTTATCTTGTTAGCTACTCACTATATTCTACGCATCATAAGTATAGTATATAACTTTTGTATATCCATTAATTTATTAACTTATTTGTCTTTTAAATATAAATTAATATTATACTTATAATAGTGATTTAACCTTAGTAAGTTTGTATGGACATATATTATTTATCTTTTAATAGTTGATAGTTTATTAAATAATTAAAACAAATATAGATAGGTATTTGCCTTGTTAGGATAATATTTTGTAGTAGATAAAACTTTTCAATCACCCCTGTACTAAGATTAAAATTTTTTTTTCTGATCGGCGGTCAGTAAAATGGGATCATGGATATACAATGGTTAAGAAAGTTATTGTTTAGATCAGATTAATATACATAAACAAATCAATACATTTTTATTTATTGTATTAAATACTAACAGATGACTGAGTTCTTTCTGTGTTCTATGTATAGTAGTTTGTAAATCTAGATACCTTACAATTCATAAATTTTTTTCCTATGATCTAAGTGTGATATTTACTTTTATTTGTGTATTTAGTTTTTTAAATTTATTATGATCTTACCTATTTTTTGTGGTAGTATCAGGCCTGCAAGGAGCAGTCTTCTCTTTTGGATAATCCTTCCCTTTATTGCTATTAATATCTTAATGCGACAATTGACAATTAAGTTTTGTATATAATTGATACTAATAAATCATTCCAGATATATAGTAAAATTTATTTATGACAATATCACTTAATATGTTCATTGTCTTGTGTTCTTTGATGCAAATTGGTTTGATGTATAATATAATTTATAATTATATATATTTTTTTTAACAGGTCTCTTAGTCTCTTAATCACAAGTACTACAATTTGAAACTTAAAGGAATATTATTTTGTTATATTTAGGTCTCTTAGAGATTATGTTATACAGATTTTACTGTAATACAAGTTAATTTAAAAATTGTTTCAGAAATTATTATGGGCTGTTTCGGAAGTGTTAAAAGAATGTGGTGTTGATAGTCATCACAAGCAATTTCGACCTTTTCTTCAACAATTATTTAAAGTATGTTCTAAACAATGGTTGCAGAGAACAGGTTCTGAAATAAAAACTAGTACTAGTGAAGCAATGCGTGCTCTAGTGATGAAACACAAGAGTACAGTACTAAAATTGAAATCAAAATCTCCAAAGCATAAAGACAATGTTGTTACATTTAAACGAAAATCTGTAGCAGATGTAAAAAAAGTATTATTTACAGATGCAGCTCCAAAAACTGATAAAAATAGAGTTATTGGTGATGGGATTGATGATTTCGCATTATATCTAGATATTAAAAAATTACCTTGTAACCAAAATACTGAAGACCTACCAGGTAGGCCAGTTTCTTCTACTTCCAACTATTGTTCTAATTTAGATATTGATTCCAAAGATTCAGAAGGAATCTTTGCTGGTTAATGTTTATATTCATTAATTAGGTACATTTTTTTTCTTTTTTGACTTGCTGAAACAAAATTGCTATTTTTCAGACTGCAAATGTATATGTTACTATCCATTTTCTTTTCTTTTGTGTTATTTTCATTAATTTATAGTTAAGTAAATTTTCCTGATTTAGATTTAAGTCGTATATTATTTGTTTTTGGTTTTCATTATTTTCTTCTAGTACTAAGAAATTTTATTCAATTTAATAATAAGTATTTGTTTTTTGTTTCTAAAATTAATGTTTGTACCCAATCTTGTACTCTTGTACTCTGATGTTGCATGTTAACATATACATATTATTTTGAGGAATGACTGAAGCATATTTGTTTTCTGTACTATTTACGCAGATCTCTTAAATTATAAATTAATGTATTTAAATTTTAGTGTATAAGATTTAGCTAATTAAAAACAATTCAGTTTTACAAATTAAAGAAATTTTTAGTCATTTACAATTAATTAAATTAAGTAAAATAAATTATGTATTATGATTATTGTTTCATTTTTAATAAATTTAATTATTTTTACTTAATTATTAAATAAACTTGATATTGTATAAAAGTATTGTACTATACTTATTATGGTTTTAAAACTTTGTTTTAATTATTGTATTATTCCATATCTTTGATTGATTCTATTTTGTAAAATTAACCAAGTGCATACCTAGTTGATTGGTTTTCTAGAATTAAATTGTTATTAAGAATACATATTTAATTTTAAAGATTAAAGTTAATTTTTATTGAAATTCTAAAAAAAATTGTAAATTGTGTTTTTTTCAAGAAAATGGAAACTAATGCGTATTTTTTTGTTGTAAAATAAATTTTAAATTGTTTTCAATTTTTTCGCAATCGTTACATATTCAATTATAAAAATAATAAATTGTTTAGATATTATATTATGTTATTATTTGGTTAACAATAAATACTAAATATTATATGATACTTATTTTGTGAGTAATGATTTTTACCACTTGTTAAACAGCAGTTATCTGTAAAGCTTATATTAATGATGAAAATTAAATTCTACAAGTATGAATTGATGGCTGATAATTAGATTTTATATAAATTGTTAATTTATATTTTACTGATATTATTTATTATACATACTAACTGATTTATTTAACCTATCACAAGTACTACAATTTGAAACTTAAAGGAATATTATTTTGTTATATTTTCATTTTAGTTTATCTATAGTATGCATTTTTTCCTAAAGATTTCGTATTCAATTTTTAATTAATAATTACTAATTAGATACCTATTACTTATAGATTTTATTATTTACTTGTAAAAAAAATAAATTATCTTTAAAATGTAACCTTTTGTTACTGTTTGGATTTCGAGTATCCTCAGTATATTATACTGATTACTATTATTCTGTATTCTATATCATTTTTTTTTTTTTAGGTGAGGGAGGTAAAATATCTAGTTGCATTAAAGCTTACAGAAGATTTATTTTTTTAAAATGAGTGAAATATCATGTTGATCAACAGTTCTATATGTAGGTGGTACGTATGATCAATGCCTACTTGTCTTGTTATATTTGGATAATCGTTACGAATTACAGTATAAAATGTTGATGAATATAATCTTAATACATTTTATTAGTTTTGAATATGAACACGATTTCACAATATTATATTATTATGATATTAATAAATGCTCTGTATGAAAAATATTTAATAGGTAACAAACAATTTAGATACCACTCGCTAGGAATAATTGTTATTTTCAAATTCAATGATTATTAAGATTGGCTTATCAAATTTTAAAACAACAATAATCAATCTCGTACTGGATCGAAATTAATATTGTCGCATTGTACTTATTGATATAGGTAAACTTGTTTATTGTTACCTACCTTATTTTTGTTTTTAATCACCAACAGCATTAAATTCGCATTTTGAATTATAAACACTATCTAGGTATCTGTAAACTTATTAAATATCACTTCAATTTTTCATGATATAAATCATTAAAAATGTAATAATAATTTCTGAAGATCTAATCTTTTCAAAAATTAATCGGTTCAAATTTAACACATCCATTACGCTATTTCAGCGATTACAAAGGTAGAATTAACACCAAATTTTCGTTGTTGCGCTTTAACGATTTTAGAATTTGTGAACTGAAATAATAGATGAACGTACGAACAATATTATATGAAATAAATGATTGAATGAAATGCAATATTTTTAATGTACACAAAATCAAAACTATGTAGGTAGGTAATTCTATTTAAAAATGGTTTGAAATACGATTTTAAGTTCTGTCTTTGACCTTATAGTAAAAAATTAAGATTAACAACATTTATTTTCAACAATATATAATGTTCCCAATAGCTGTAAGCCCGGATTAATAGTGGCCGGGGGGGGGGAGCACGGTGCCCTTATAATATTGAGATTTGTATAAAATCTATCTCCCGTAAAATGAAAAACATTAGGAAACGGCTTGCAAGTTGTAACGGGGTCCGAGAGTATTGAAAGAGGGTTTTTCCAATTCTCATATGAATTTTAAAAATAAATATTTTCGCAATTTTTTTTTGTTGTGAATTTTAATTGTGTTATTCATGCGAACATATAAGCATAAGTCTGAAATATTTGAATAACAACCCTTTATTCGCCAAATCAAAATTACATGAAGGGGCCAAAAATACATTTTTTATTATACTCAAATTTTATAGCATTTTTGGTGCCTCTGTGTGATATGCATTGTTCATGTTTATGCTTTATAGAAAATTCAATTCTTACTAAAAATAAATAGCTTGTTTGTAATTTAACACTATACATTTAGTATAAAGTATAAATATATCGTATTTTTATGTACCTATATATACTGTAGATTTTTCAAATACAATTACGAAAATCAAAATCAATCGTCATTTTCGATGCAATTAGGATTTAGAATCTTAGGAAACACAACTCAATAGTTTGACTTCTTCTTTATTTAAGTCATTTGTGCCCCCTAGGGTATTCAATTTTAATTTTTTTTGAATATTAAAATATCAATATCACAATTATTTCATTTACGATTGAGAGGTGGAGGTTCTTCAAAAACTATTTCTCAACTCGTAGGCACTTAAAAATATTTATTATTATAACAATAAATTGATTGATCAAAACCACTTAGAAATAATAATAATAAAAATTACAATAAAAACGAAATATTCTGTAGTTGTATTTACTATATATTATATGTAATGTAGATTAGAAGTTGTGAAACTGTGATTTATGTACCACTGATGGTCCGTGATAAACAACGCAGTGGTATTGAAAAATACATTAAAAGTGATCATAATACTTACCGATACATCGTTTTAAGTCGTTATAGTATAGTATGCGAGTCTGATCTACAAAAAACATAACACGGAGTAGGTACAGGATAAAAAAGATCACTACAAGTCTAGATGACTTTTACTCTTGCTAAATTACATTGCGTTTAAAATTTCTTTAACCCCTCACCCCATAAAAAATAGTAGAGGTTAAGATATCTGCTATTAAACAACACTTAAAGTCTATTTACTTTTAAGTTTTGACCGTACAGAAACATAGGTATATCTATTATCTACATAAGATTTATTAAACACGGATTCTATATAGGTACCTTAAACATTTGGCCGCCAATTATCCCAAAAATGGCATTGCTTATGTATATAGGCGCTGTACCTACTTATATTATTTTACGATCTCACTATCTCAGACGCGCTCGCGCACATTACAATCATATATTATTATTTATTACACGCTCATACAAAAGTTTACGTATAAGCGTACGCGTTTTATAACGTCCGAATTTTCAATACCGTTTTTCATATTTCCGAGCCGCGTGACTGGCGGGCTCGTGCTTGGGGCGGGGGCGAAACCATGCGACGGAAAATCGTTGGGGCGGGGGTGTTTTTGAATATTCCGACGACGGTGCGCAGTGGCAGCGTACAGCAGCAGTGATTCCCACGCCGGCCATATATCACGCGGGAGGCCAGAAAACGCGATTTATACCGACGCGGGGGGGCGAACGATCCACGATTGCTATTCCCAGATTGAATTAAAACGCCGTTAAGTCTGTGCATACATACACAAATATACAATATGCACACACACACACACACACACATACATACATAAATAAATATAGGCGTATAGCTGCAGTAAATATTGTCTGTGTGCGTGGGATTTACCCCACATTATATTTTTTTTAACGCCAACGACGCACACGCACAAGAAGGATATACAGCAGGGTGTCTCCGTTCATATACCTGTCCGACTACTGAAAAGTATCTACCGTATTGCGATACAGATACACTCCTCCTATACAGTTTCCTCTCGCCTGAGCTCATACCTACGTAATTCGTATTACGCATGCGGACCACAATTTGAATATTATATATAAGACCCGTATATTACCCGTAATTTTAAAACGTGTAATACAAATTTTAAAATATTTATGTATGATATTGTGTATATAGTAAATTATGGTCAGTTCTGTGTCGACCATCGTTACGTAAACTTGCGTCGCGCTGTAGTTCATTAGCGGTATCGCGTAACCGCCGTGCGATGGGTTGGATAAAACAAAATTGTATTTTACCACAATTATGTTATACAAACGTATCTACAATTGGATTATGCCTTGTATTCATCGATCAATGCGTTAGAGATGGATTTTTTTTTACAACGTCAAAAGTTTTCCATAAAAATTAAAACACCGAACTCGGCAATTACACAAAAACTTTTTGGAATATATCATCATGGAGTCAGATCTGTCATTCCCCACATTTACACTTCATCACATCTGTCTAATGAAAGCGGTTATTCGTCAGCAACATTTTTCCATTTCCGTCAAATACTGCACTGAAACGGCTACCATATAACATAATTGAGTTGCTCCGTTTTAAACGTTGAAAATATCTTCAATATGCAGGTCAACTGGTTTTTACTTTTATCACAATTTTCTGCAAATCTTGTAAAAAAATAATTCAACCAAAACTTGTTTAAGCATTTTAAGCTGATAAAATTCCTTCAAAGTCGTCATTGAAAAATCCATAAAATTTCATCAACAGTCACAATGTAAGCGGTGACGTAGTCGTATGCGGGTCACTCATAGATGTTGTTGTCATTTATCATAATTTGTGTTAAATGTACCTAACGTAAATCATCTTACTGAAAATAATGATAATATAGTGACTTGAGTTATCCACCAAATGCGCTTCATGCTCAAACGCGCACCACATTAACTATAAAGACTACCTGTTTTATAAATAGTTAACGAATTTCCTTGTACAAGAAACAATCTTTTCTATTTAACAGTTTAAAAAAAAAGGCTCTTAAGGTTTTATTAACCAAGGATTTAGATGCTCATACAGTCATATCCAACCTAGAATGAAAACTCGTTGAATTTTAGAAGCTATGTCAAACCAAAATTCATTTTCAGAAGTCGTCTCTACCATGTAATCGCAATCGATTTCAAATTAAAATTCAAAACCTATAATCAATCTACTGATTAGCTCTTTTCTTTCTTTTGTGGTTCTAAACGGATTTATCGCCAAAGGTACTTTTTATCCTTGGTCTATTCACGTATAATATTTTCATACTTATAATTGTCCTTATTTATAGCTCCTATAGTTCTTTAATTAGTTAAAATTTAGTTCAAAATCTTTTATATTAATAATTACAAATGTATCGTTCATAAAATGATGATTGGATGCAACGTATTATATTATTAATAATCGACTAATAACTCATATTTAATAAAAAAAATCAATTATGATTCCATACATTTACTATGTAATTTTTTTTTAATTTTGAGATAATTCTTATAACCGTACGTGATTTTTAACATTGCAATAATTCTCCGAAATTATTTTTGAAAAATAATAAATAGAAAAACACTTTGTACTCTATAGGCGCACATTAGGCGGCAATTGAACATCTATTAGTCGTTAATATCAAATTATAAATTAAATAGTCTTTAATATTATTATGTATTATACCTATGCGAAATCTGCAAACATGTAGTAACTATACATGTGCTCCATTTTAGCATCGATATTATATAATATTATCCTTTTTGTATGATATATGTCCATATGTATTCTTCGTTTATATATTATGTAATATCATAGGCACGCGCACGGAGCCAGCAGAAGAACCTTAAATATTTTTTGTGGGCTTTAGTAAATTAGTTTGAATTTCATGGCAAATTTGAAAAACAAGCGGTATTATATTTATACTGCTCCTGAAATTAAGTTTGCGCACGTCTATGTGTATCATGTATTTTATTAATTATAACGCATACCACGTACGATGAATTAAATTATATGTAAACCATGTTTTTTCATTTGACAAAAGTTTTAATTACAAATAAAGTGTCACAACCATCTATAAACGAGTAAAACGTATAATATAACACATAACACGAGCAACTTTAATAACTGTAATAGTATACAAACAATAATAATAATAATAATACAAAAAATATAATTATAGTAATAATAATAAATAATTAATAAAAAATAATGATATTTTTACAAAAAAAAAAAAAACCACTACAAGATAAAATAAGTGAATAAATCAAATATAAATTGATTGGTGTCATTGAGAAATCATATGAGGAATTCTTTTATTTAGGCGTATTTAAATTTTTTAATTATTGATTATTTGATTTTCTATGATAGCAAAAGTACTTACAAGAAATGTAAGTACTACCTTTATAATTTTTTATCGGGGTTTTTTTATTCAAAGTAATTGTGTTTATGATGCTTGTTGCAATGTTTGATTAAAAATACAACTTTTAATTTGTTAATAAAAACAAACTTTGATTGGAGTTTATACCTATACCTAGGTAATTATTCACAGTACATACATTATAGCCATGAATTAAATTGTTTTGTTAAGATAATTAAATATTTTAAAAGCGTCTTTTTGATACTATTTAATGTTCTCGAGTTTAAATGGATTTATATTATGTAAAAAATAAATTACAAGTGTGACAATTTTAAAACAAACTTATATGGGTAACAAAAATAAATATATTAAATTAATTTTCCTCATTTTTACTATATTTTTTAATACTACTTAAAACAGCCACAACTGTAAGTTCTTAATCTACAACACATATAAGTATAGAATATATTTGTATACAAATCTTAATCATAAAAGTTTCTTGTTTTGCAAGAGAACACTGTACATTTATTTAGATCATTCAACGAGTAAAAATATTATACCGACTTGACTTTTATTTTACATTTACAATATTTGAGTTATTCTATATCTATACAATCTTCAATCTTGTGTATAATACGTTTAACTTAATATTTTTAGTTTTACTTATAGTTTATAAGTTTTATTTGTAAATTAAATGTATTAGAGTTATTTGAATTATTGCACTAAAATATAAACGATGTTATGTCGATACGATTTGATAATTCTATAGCTATAGCAACACAAGTTGAAGTTTAAATTATTTTATTGTTATAAGTTTATAACATTAATTAGAAATCAGAATGTTTAGTTAAGCGTTTATTACGTTATATTTTATACGTACTATTAAATCACCGTATATTTTCGTATACAATTGATTATAATAACAGTAATAAAATTACAATGTAAGTATATAAAGTCATATTGACTAAAGGTACAATATCATAATAATAAACAAAAATAATAATAAATAAATATAATAATATACATGTAACTAATAGTAAATTAAAGTTATTATTATCGTCAAGTATATCGGGAGGTCAAAAGGTGATCAATTTTCATTATTATAAAGCGTATACTATTTTTTAATGACTATATCATTGTACTTATAATATAAGATATAAGATGACGAGAACCAAAAATATTATTAATTATTATTAGGCATTTGCAGATAGGTACCTCATACTCATACTACAGGTTCTACTCATACTCGCAATTTATATGGAACCATAACGTTTAAATTTCAATCTGTGATTGTAAATCTAAATATTTTTAATTCATGCTACAGTACCTATAATATCATATAAATCTCAAAACTCAGCGAGAAAGGTGACAAAATTAAAAAAAAAAAAAAAACACTATAAAACTTATATGGAAATAGCATGAAGTTAGAGTTTATTATAAGTTTCAGATAAGTAATTTTGGCAGTAAATTCTATAATATTCTATAGAATAATATTTTGGATCTATAAATCAGATTTGATTAAATATTAAGATGTGCAACTTAGCTAGAAAAAACACTAACAAGAAAGTTGATAGGACTCTCAATAATTATCATTTAATTTTTCTTTCACAATTATAAAACCAATGCTTGCTATTGTAACTCCTCAAGTAATACTTATGCTACTTTTAAAGCAAAAAATGATTACATAAAAGCGGTCACAACTGAAAATGAGTCATTTTTCTTGATCGACGGTACTTTCCGCCAAGTGCACATTTGTCATTAAATATTACTGTAATATTGTTTTTGACGCGATGACTTTATGAATTCGTCTAAAAGTAATAAAGCATCCATACGTATTTATTATAGTAACATAATTGACTTATATGATTTGTATTTTTTTGAATTATGTCACCTTTTTCACCGAGCGTGCATGCTGTAATATGATGTCTCGAAGTAGTATGAAAGTATTGTAAAAAATGTCGACAGTATAATATATAAATATATATAAATGAAAAACAATGAAAAAAAAAGACATGCCTAATGTTAAACAATCTCCTGATCTCTACTAATGGCTTCAGCGTGTTTTTTAGCTTTTAACCGCAAGTCGGCTATACTGGAATTTTTGGTTAACAGTCTATCTTGATGCAATGCCGCAAGAGCAGCTAGACTCAGACCACTCGGAGGATATGGCGCAGGGCACAGAACGCCTCTTCCCATGGCCACCGCATAATGCAACTGCAATAAACATATATATTTCTCTCTGATTTTACAGTACGATATTGTATTACACGATATCTGCGAATCGTTACACATTTTACGCAGCACGTTGAATTTTTCAATATTTTTCTCAACGATGCGATTTTTCAAACATTTAACGCGATCGACAATACACTTAACGATTACCTGTTGTGCGGCCGTCAAGATGGCCGGATCGAACGCGGAAAACGCGGCTGCAGCTGCAGCTGAGGAGTTGAATTGCAACTGCGGTAGTCTCGGCACGTTCACGTACGGTGCCACTCGACACGGCTCTAGAGGCGTAGACACGTTTTGGTGCATCATCAGGCCTGTAAAAATGTAATAAAATCATGATAGTAATGCATCGCGTAGTATCTAGTTTAAAAACATATCTAATATATTGATGTTAACAGTTTAAGTTATAATTTATCACACGGTACAGTCGTGTGTCGGACAGTTAATACTATATGGTATTATGGTTGGACCATGTCCGCGCAATCTTCAGATGAATAAACTATGTTGTAGAAAGTAAAATGTGGTGTCCGTAAAATTACTCGCACCGACTGGAAGCCGTTTTTTTTTTTTTTTTGTGTGTGTGTTCTATAGACGACGTTTAACAATAAAGTATCGTCAAACGTACCGCAACAATAACGCCATAAACTGTGTAGGTTACTTTATTGTAGTTATAGCGAAAAATATGGGACATTTGATACCATTGTTTACCTCTATGTAAAATGTATTTATATTATACGCGTATCAAAAGTATCTAGAACACGAAATGATAAAGACTTTTGTATCGGTGTCTAGATAGATATGCGTCAACAGCACGGCGTAGTCAGGTGTTGGGAGGCAGCAGTTCTAGGAGAAATTGTTGACAAATTTAAAAATGCTTTCAGTGTTCTGTGAACAGATTTTACGTACTATGGACGTATACATATAGTTTTGTGTTTTTTTTTTTTTTTATTATTGTAAAAAGACGTCAAAAAAATAAAAAAAAATATGTACGATAGTTATAGAAGGGAAATTGGAAAATGAAAACAGATTGAACTTAAAGTATTTTTGAATTTAGTAAAGATAGTTTATAAACATATAATAGATATCCTATTAAGGTACACCGAGCAAAGTATTAGTAAAATCGTTTTTTCAAATGTATCATTTTCTATACCATCAACCCCAACATACATCATATTAGCTACCTAGCCATATTTTTCAATAATTTTGAAAACCATATCGTTACGAATAAATATTATTTCGTTCATAGTTCAAATACACAAATATTATCACCTAAACGAGTTTACAGCAGCAAAAGAAATTAATAACGCAGAATAACGTCACATTTTAATATCATCGAATTACAATTATTGTACCTACGATCAAAACAACGAAATATTAGTCCATACAGCATCGTCTAAACATACTTACATACACATTATACATTAGTACTTTACAGACATTATTGGACAACTGTGCGGCGTGTGTACCGCATGTATGTCACTCGATGAGACAGTCAATAGTAAATTATTATCAGTGCACCAATTGTGACAATAATAATAATAATAAGGCCGCTCTTACACATATACACGCATATGGGATGTTTTGCACGGATCACGGAGGGATTACAAATAATCTGGACCCGTAGATAATAATATATATATACAGTTGTCGCTTAATCAAGTTAAGTGTGTGTGCGGCGCAACGAGTGATTGTCACCCGATTGCACCCCAGTGAGCGATTAGGAGAACTGCTCTGCTGCACCAGACCATCACTCCCTCTTCTCAGTTTGCTGTGCTCGCTAAACGGTAACACAACACACGTACACACACACACACAATAATATAAAGGATGATTTATCAAGAACGATCACCCCATAATGAATTTATTGAAAATCCTATTTTTGTTAGTCTTAAATACACCTACTAAAAGACCATATTTTCAAATTGTCGAGATTACTTATATTACGTAAGGAGGTGTCCTGTGATGATACGAATTCTGTTTTTTAAAGAAGACCTTTTTTTTTGTTATATATGATTTAATAGATAGATTTTAAGAAAACGTTGATTAAAAATGTGCACGAAAGTTATTTCTAAGTTATTTATTTATTTATATTTTTTTGTTTATACTAATTTTATAAGTAGTATTTCAAAATGATTTTACAAAAATATAAAAAGATGTAATATCGAATCTAATTATACACAGATCATTTTTTAAAATTATAAACAAAAATAGATGAATACAATTTTAAAATCACTATAGATAGCTATTAACCCTATATACTATATAGTCATATCTTCCAAACCCATTATTTTTGGTACCTATAGTTATACAAAATTAAATAACTCAAAAATTACTTGTTCGAATTTTGATTTTGATACGTAAATTTTCAAAAGAATTATTCACTAAATAATTAACAGTATAAAAATGGGATTTTCATTCGGAAAATAGAAGTTTTTATCTCCACAGATCACTCCTTAAAGCCTTAAAAATTTAAAAATATAGTTTTTTTGCATATAAAATCAGAATTTGAACAAATGCAGTGTTGAAGAATAAAAATGGAGTGAACACGCTTGGTGAATCACTCTGTATATTATAGATTTAAGTATTTGTAAACTTCTGTACACCGTGCTGGGGTGACGGCGACTGCTCATGGACAGAGGGGGTTTGTTTGTTTGCTTTTTTCGCTAATTCGATTTCAATTTTTCCCCGCGGTCCAGTCGTATGTGCACTTACAGCACCGCGATCACGACGACTGTTGTGCATAATATAAACTGGTAAAATAATATCATGTATATAAATTGGTACAAGACATATTATTTTCATATTAGAGACGGCCTATATGGTCGCAGATACAACATCTACACTATAATATTTTATTAGTTTACTTCACATTTAATATACATGATATTTATTGTAGTATGTGCAAATTTAAGTTGTCTCATTCGTTCTTTTTCTAAGATTTTCATTTCATATTCGTACATATTACATACCTATGAGCTAGTAGTCGTCATCATGAAGTATTTTTTTTATGAATTTATCATCTGTTTAGTTATTTAACATCTATAATTAAAATGCATTCACGACTTGCGCCAGAAATAAGATTATAAAAATGAAAATAATTTTTATTTATAATTTTAGTATTATTGCAGTATGGTTTCCATTAAATGTTTTCAAGTGGGATTTGGTAACGCTAAATAGGAAGTATAAAATAATTGCAGACAGATAATACAATAATTTTGACCTATTTACTTTGATTTTTCTTTTATGAATATGCTAAGCGTGTTATAGCAATAAATATTATTGCTTAAGCAAATAGCAAGTGATTTATATTTAAAATAAAAGGTTGAGTTTAAACGATTAACGTATATTTTAGTTGTAGATGTTAACGTCTATACCGTGATGTCAAACACAACATTAGACTTTGATATTTTGTTCAAAACCAACTCATTTAAAAATACATAAACACGTTTACAAATACTAACATTTGTAAAATTAAATTAACTGATTGTCATGCCATGCACTAAGCAAATATCTGTGTCCATCATACTATATTATTTAACGAATTTAACAAAAACAATATAAAAATGCAGTATTAAAGCAGTACATTTACAAGTTCTAAGCACGCGCCCCTGTAAATATTATAATTGTATAATTCATATATATTTTTTCATTATAGGGACAATAGTCACCCTGTTTATTGGATAAGCCTTTGGCCCCGCTCAGATTTAATATAATTCGTTCGTTGTCGTTGTTTTGCGCAGCCGAAAAAAAATTATACTTACATTATTAATATTAATGACCGACCATAAAACGTGTTGCGGTACGTTAATCGCGTTTGTATACGATTATATTATATTTATATATGTGTGAGTGCCCGCGCGGGACGGTGAATATAATACGTACTATCCCCCGTCGGACATTAAAATGAAATTATCTTTCTCGTTTATTTTTTTCATTTCTAAATGACAAGTGCGATTTTTATTCCAGAGTGACTTTGAACATTATGTACATTTATCTACAATAATCACTACTGCGTACCTCCATAGTAATGATTTTGTTCGTGGTTTTCGTGTATTTTAAAATATATTTTATTGTTAATATTTGAATAAAATGACACCTAGTATGTCATAATTTATTAAATAAAATATCCCTACACTAGGTGTTACGTATATAGTGGCCGTATAGTCAACAAAATGTTATGATGACGCAAGCGTGGATATAAGCTGACTTATGCCTTTTTTCTATTTGGAAATTGTTTATATTATAAAATAAATAGTTCATACGTTTTAAAATCTATAAATTTAAAATAGAAATAAAATAGTTTATATTGTTATCACATTTTATCTATAATTTCTTTACTTATTTATAATTAATATATAAAATAATCATAGTATTTTTTTTTTTTTTTGAAAACACTATAACCCCTCCCCTCACTTTAGATTTTTATGGCTGTGGATGACTATGGTGATTTATTTGTAGTCACCATCGAAACAGTATTAATAATGTTTTACTTAAATATTTAAAAATAATAATAATTATTATACGGGTGATTTTCATATTTTAAGTATTCATATTTTAATGTCATTATCCTAAAAGTTTTACGATGAAAAAGTAACACTATATTATGTTTATACAAAGATACTATTTAAAAACAGATTTGTTATTGTAATTTTAAAAATTATGATTTTCTCTCTTTTATTTCAGAGTAGTGACAGAGAATCCATCCAAGACATTTTATTTCTAACGATTTGAAATATACTAAATACGCTTATTTTTATGTAATTTACACATTTTTTTTTTTTTATCGAAAATGCTATTGTTTGGTTGTCTTTAAGTTGAGCATGTTATATACAAAATAAATGAATATAGTCCATAGGTAAGAAATTAGGTATTATGAAAGTATTTGTAAAATAATAATGTTCATATTTTATGTACATTCTATAACTATTAATAAATGTTTATGTTTTTAAATCTGCACTTTGCTTTATAACTATTTAATGGTTTTAATATTACCTAATACCTACACCCATGTTATCGCGATTATTTGTCGCAATATCATTTTAAATAAGCGAATTATATACAAATATACAAATAAATTATTTGTTAGAAGTACCTCTTATTGTATGCATTAAAAATAGCAAAGTAAAATCATACCTTTATGCATTTGACTTTCGTGTTTTCGGCATTTGGCCCGTCTGTTTTGAAACCATACCTAAAAATTTTAAAGTTTTTTTAAATTAAATGGTATAAATTATCTGTGAATTAACGTGATTGAATAAAAAATCACTTAGTTACAATACAAAGCTTTAGAGTAAAACAAGAACATTGTTGTACCAGCATTGCTTGAATTTTAATATTTGCACATTTTACTTACCATAATGTTTAAATAATTGTTTTTTTTTTTTTAGTATAAAAGTTAATATTTTAACGACTTTTATAATATTTTATAATTTATTTTGTTTAATTAGTAATTTATAGTAAAAAACTAACTTGTACTCTTGCTTCACTGAGACCAAGACGCTGACTAAGCTCTTCTCTCATAAATGCATCGGGGTAGTGAGTTTCATCAAAAAGTCTTTCGAGTTCGTTGAGCTGTTCTAGAGTGAAGTTGGTCCTACTTCGTCTCTGCTTATTGGACGGACCATTTAACTGCTTATTGTTACTGTTTTTTGAACCATCGAATGTTTGACGGTAATCTTCTACACTGTCTTCTTTAGGATCTTTGAAATCTAAAAATGTTTATTTTAATCGTTAAAAGATTGTTATTCAATGTTTCAAGTTAAACAAAATATAATGTGCATAAACTATGTATCATTTAATTAGAACATTGAAGTAATATAGTATAATATATTTCACGGTAAATTTATTTTCAAGTTGCTTAAACTATTTTTCTATTAGTTATTATATTATATTTACCTAAAAGAGTTATTGTTCCAAAATACATTTGTATTTTTAATTAAGTTTAATTTATATATTATTGTTTTAAATTCTAGTTTTTTCTTTAGTTGTATAATTTATAATACGCAAATTCAACATTTAAATTTATATATATATATATGTATATACAATCTATTTTTTCTTATTAAGCATTATTTTTAGTAATTTAATTATTTACACATTTTTCGGGGATAACGTTTAATTGTTTTGTTTTGCAACAAATTTAGTTCTCAAGAATTTTGCATCAAGATAAATAATAGAATGGTGAGTTAGGAATAATTTAGTATAACAAATTATTTACAGACCAAATTAATATTGTGGGTAACCATTTTATAACTAAATTAAATTCAAAGTTGTGTATTAATTATCATATAATTGAATATAATACATTTGTGCTAATAAAAACAAATATCATTATAATTTATATTTATAGCTAGTTTACTTATTCAAATATATTGAGTTATTGATAAATTAATTTTTATTATGTCGCTTGTGAAATGTAAAAAGTAAAATAAAATGTATTTCGTACGTTAGTATTCTAATCCAATATGCTAACAATTATTACGAAGAATAAATTCTTACATATTTCTTTATATATGGTTGCAATTATAAGCTAAAAATCATACCATTGTAAAGGTTTCATATATAAGTACATATAATATCGTACACTGGTAGGTATTAGGTGTAAATAAGTATCTATTTAAAAAATGATTTTGTCTTCCACAAATTAAAACCATTTAACTACAGATGTGCTTAAATAATTGTTCCATTACTTATATTAATGTGGATTTACATGGTATTATGCTTCTTATTTTTAACATTATTATATTCGAATATAACTAAAATATGATGATTATTATATAATTATATATAGTGTACGATTAGCAGTAAGTACTTTATATTCTAGCAATTATACTGTTAACTTGCCAATAATACTAATTGATTACCACTTTTATTATGACTTTTTTCGTAGCTTAAGGTTTTAAGCACCGGTTACTAGAGGGGTTTGAGATAAAAAAAAAAAAAAAACAAAATTAATTCGAATATGTGCATTTAATGCCATTTGGCAAATTAAACACGCGCACAACATAGCTATTAAAAGCTTAACGTAATCGTTTCCTTTATTTCATTATTCATTTCCATCTTCCCACTTTCTCTCTCACTCTCTTCAAATTTCTTTCCTCCCTATTTTTACACTGTGATTTGCAGCTACTTAAATGGGTCTAACAAATTAATTGGGGTTCCGCCTATCAAATCGATTACATTTAAATCGTATTTAGTATGAGTGTACCTGCATTTAATGGAGTATACGTTTGCAAACCGTTTGAGTAAAATTTGCATGATTGATTTTTATTTTTATTATTATATGAGTACCTACCATGTTACTAAATATAGTTAGTTGGTACTTAATAATGATTTATACAAACGTAAAGTGTATAATACACATTTTTCTTATGTCATGAATTTTAAATTATATTAATATTAAACTAAAATATGATATTATAATATATGATTAATTTATACAATTTTAAATTCTTAACTTAGATTGGTAGCTACCTGTGTTGGGGAAATATGATCAATCACTCATATTCAGTGGCGTATTTTCGGGGCGGAGGTCTCCCCGGGTACGAAAGTCGTAAATGAGTTTCTACGTAGGTACAAAGAAAGGTTTTTTAGATTCCTTCAGTCTTCACCCCCTCCCCCCTCACAAAAAAAAAATAAATAAAAAAAGAAGAAATTTAAAAATACGCCACTGCTTATATTGATTCGGGTTATATGATATATTATTATTAATTTTAAAACAATAACAAATCATTTAAAAACGATCTTATAAGCTAATTAGTAAAAGTTAACTTACTGAAATTTTTATAAATGTATTGACTGTCATTTACGTTTGGGAAATCTAAGATTAGATAATATAAATAAAGTTAACTTTGTATTATTTATTATTTAATTATATTGACTTTATTTCCAATAGTCCAATTACTTTCATCTCTATTTTCAAAAAATATAATTTTATATACATTAGAGTATTTACAAAATATATTATCTGTACGATCTATATTCTATTCACATTAACTTGTTATACATAAATGTTAGAGCATAGGTAGAAAAAGATTATTTAAGAAAAATTGTTAATATAAACACCATTGTTTATTTTACTTATTATTTATTAGTACAATAATTAAATAATAATATTCAATACCAAATTAAATTAACTTAAATTTGAATAAAAATACTTAAGAGTTTTTATTTTTTTTTTTAAATAAATTAATGTTGACATAAAAATAACTAGATGTAGATGCTGCATAGTGGATAAATGTAATATTAAAGTTGATGTGATAAATATTAATTCACTTGAAAATAGAAATTCAACATGTTGTTTAAAGTGTGAGACACGCTGACGTATAGTTTAATAAAAACGTATTACAGTTGCTTAAAGTATACTTTATTTCATATTTCAGGTTGAAATTGGAATGGTTATTAAACCACACATAAAAAGTTTAGTTTATTGCCGTAATTATATGCGTACATTATTGAAAAGCGAAGTATAGTAATTGTTAATAGTTCGGACGAAATAAATTAAAATAAAGTACGGTATTATAAAAAAAAAAAAAGTAAGTATACGAAAAGTAGCTGTATTTATATATATATATATATAGAGAGAGAGAGAGAGAGAGGGAGTAAACCCTTTGTACAAGTCTACGATTTTTATTATGAAATAAAATTACGACGATGAGACGGTTTGTTGGAGTTACGGGGCAATTAATTTAAGTCTGTAGCCCTGAAGTACTCTAGGGTGTAGTTACGAAGTCCCGCCCTGCAGTCGAAGAGGCCTTAAGACGTTTTATTCCTTCCCCTCCACCAACACCATCCGGATCGCCACCCAGCGACTGTGCATCTGTTATGTCTCGGATTAGTCTAATCCCATTACTTTAATTAAGAGAAAGGAAGAGAGAAAGGAAAACCACCCTCCGTCCATCTCTATGTCGTAGATACCTGTATATATATATATATATTATCTATATTATCTTTTTACACCTTGCGCCAATCGTTCACACCTATAATAATAATATATATTTCAGTTATCTGATCCATCTACAATTGAATGGAAATCCCCCACAATATATTATGAATTTCTTTAAAATACGCTAGTTCTATAACGAAATAGAAAGTTTAAATTTTTTATTTCATAATCTGTTACAATACTTATGACTAAAGACCGGATTTATATGCATTTTAAATTGTTAAATATGTATGCAAATACGCATCAAAAAAAAAAAATAAAAATGAAAATATGCAAGAAAAAAATGCATAACATGCAAAATAAAATTTAAATTTTTATTAAATTTTATATTTGATTTTAATTTTGCAGTGATAATTATTTAGTATTTTTATTTAAAATTTCATAAACAAAATGTATAGGATGTATATTTAGCAAATATATGATACAAAAATGTTATTTGTTAATTTGTAATTTAATTTTTAATCATTAGGTAATACACTGTAAAAAATATTTTATTAATATTAAATAGTAAATACATTGATGATACAAATAAGAAAAAAAGTACCGTTTAATGTAGTATATTAATTGGACAAACAATAAGTTATCAAATTATTCTTGGAGACATAAAATATTTAATATTATAATATAAACGTACTTATAATTTGTTTTTTATTTGCTCAACACTTTTTTGGATCGTTAGATGTATATTTGTACGGTTTTTTTGTGAAAATATGCAAAAATATACAGAATATGTACAAACGTCAGAATATGCAAAGATATGCAATATAAAATTTTGATACTTGATCAATCAATTAATGATTTGTGGACACTCGTTAACTGCATGTATATGATGTTAAAAATAGTAACACGCATTTTATGCAAAATCCGGTCTTTACTTATGACTAACGAGTGAGTGTGATACTTGTAAGTTGTAATGAAAAGTTTTATCCCTGGAGAAATTTTCCACGAAATTAATAATTTGTTTATTAAAAAATAGTAAAATATTATAAGCTTTAATTATAATATATATAATATTATACGATATTTAATTATTATTTAATATAGAATAATAGGTATTAATTATTACCGATTTAAGATTTATAGTCACATCATTTTTGAGATTACAAAGTACGTATTTGTATTTTTTTTTTTTTTGATGTATGTCCTTACTCCTTTGATTAGAATATTATTATGTAATTTTGAAGAATATTTTATTGCAGTTTTTGTAATATATGCTTAAGCTATATTATAATTTGGAGAGATTGCAAGATCATAGTGTAAATTATTGTGGTAGGTACATTAAAATATGCTTTACTTATTAAAATTAAAGTTCTGTATAATTATAAAACATTGAATACGATTAGTGTTTGATATTATTGCAGTCTCACAATTGAATACCTTATTTTTAAGTTGGTTTGATGTGAATTTAATAAATTAGTTAAGTTATATTAAATAACTGCATAATTAGTATAGACTAGAGGGGAAAAAAGAAAATGAATAAGGCGTTGATGTTTATAACGATTATGGGAAAATTACATAGTAAGTAATTTTGACGATATTAGTAGTAGTTAATAGTAGTAAAAGTAAATTAATAGGTAAATAAGTAATAAATGCCTATTTACAATAATAGGTAATTAAATAGGTTTTTTGGTTTAAGTATGAGTATGGCAGTAGAATACTGCTATGGTATACAAAAGTAAAATAGCTTTAACATTAAATTAATTAGGTATGCTAGAAAAATGATAACATTTTATTGTTATTTATGGTTGTATGGTTGGAAAGTAC